CCATATCACACGAATATGCACGAGGAAGAAGTCCAAATGACGTTTGATACGTCATTTGACGACTCGGCACACACACATACGCAGGCTGCTCCATCAACCAACGGCGAGAGCAGCCTCACGCGTCCGGAAATGAAGAGTTCACAAACATTGCCGAATATGACGATTTCAGATCCATGGGCAGATCCAGAGGATGAAGACTTTGGCAAAGAAAAGGAGATTTCAATGACTTTTGCATAATACAAGGACAACGGCCAGAGAAGGGACCCAAAACCTTGCGAGGAGTTTTCTTTTTCGTGTTTCCGGCGATCTATTGACCCAGCGACAACTGATTGCTTGATCGCCCTGGCGTTGGCATGGATAGATGTAACCGTCCACAGTCGGTTCGCGTTTATATTCGAATTATTTGCTTCTTTCATTGTGAGCTTTCTTGTTACGGGTCTCAGGCCGCATGGATGAAACGGCATTTGTACACGGCGAGGTTACATAATTACTCTGGTGGCGGATACACTGATTGGATGGAAGGAACAGATAGGAGAAGGAGTAGGACACCGTTTTAATTCCTTGGAAGCATGAGTCGGATGAGACGAGAATGGGATGAAGGAGTTGATGATGGAAGAAGGCGTAGTTCCTAACATCTTTTCTTCTTTCACTGTATTATTTGAAGAGACGAATATATAAAGGCTGGCAACGTAATGTTTGAATCTCAAGACTTTTACCGATATGACGTGGACATATCCTGTACATGTGCTTGGGCATTATCGCAATATGTACTATATAGGTACTTCGGTATGTAAGTGAGATTTTGGTGGCTGGAGATTATTCTTGAAGGAACAAGGTCAGCTGACCGGCGCAAGGGGATGGATGGTCCTCGCTGCCATGTGCTCTGCATCACCAATTGGTTGACCACGTGATTACGGAATAGGATTGAACGGCGGGTTGGGGACGCAAAGGCCATGATTGTTTGAATGAATCAACAGTCTGCATTTGCATCCGGAGTCCAGGGTGGAGTAAGGAGTATGGGGGGATGAAGGAGCGATCCGATGGACGAGCAAGAGCCCCAGTCTCCAGAGTCCAGACCACTTCAAGCTTTCCCAAGCAGTGCCGGTGCGTTTTTCTACTCTACACGTCGCCTTTGGTTAATTTGTTTCCGCAGAAGACTGGCCGTCTCTGTTGTTTTGTTGTTGTCCCCTTCGTGTTTATGAACCAGCCTCGCGCAAAAGGCAAAGGCCACCGGCTGGACACAAACGCCGTCTTGTACTTTCCTGGGGTGGGTGGCTGGACAGTGGACTCATCCCTGTCAGCGACAGTGGAGACATGCTGCATGTGGTGTGTGGAGGTGATGGCGGGAGGCCATCACCAGTCTCATCTCTTTAGATGCGGAATGGCTCGCGGAGACTCGCTTACCTAGGAAAATTGTATGACAGAGGAGTCTCCACGAGCCAGTCCGCATCCAAAGAGATGGGACAGGCGAAGCACAGCCTGGCCATGCCATCCAACTCCAGCTGTCATCTTTTTTTAGAGCACCGAAAGTGGATGGATGGAGACAATGTTGGCCGGTGGATTACACGAGTACGGAGTACTACGCAGAGTCGCCGGGTGGTTGATGTTGTGCTTTGCAGGTGAGGAGCATCTCCTCGTCGCATTGATGGTTCTTGAGAATCCAACCACTGATTTTGAGACACAAAGACCCTAGATTTGCGAATGTTGGCTGCACGTACGGAGTAGTACTGTCACGGAGTACCATCGTGACTGGAATACTTGTATTCGCCTGCTGAGGCACTAGTTCCTTCAGCTCGACGGGATTTCTACCCTGGCGCCTGGTTGGCGTTGGCCAGAACTGGAATTGTGCATCAATACATCTGAGTCGTTTCTCGGTCTGGCCAACCAACTAGCCTCCTCACTCGGACCCCAGGGAGGCATGCTCTCTGATCTGAATTTGGTAACCCTCTTTGTGGACGGACGCAAGCCTCTCTTGCCGAGTACTCACAACGCAGCACAGCATGTGGCCCATCATGCCTTTCTACTCGGTGGAAAGCTTCGTGTTTGTCTCTTAGAAACCAGCCCAATGGAACGCCCAGTGAACCAGGGTGTCGATTGTCCCGTCTGGTCTTACGCCTTTACAAGCCGCCCACCCCTTGGGCCGCGTGCTTTTCAGTCTGTTCTTTCTTTTCCTTCAATTCCTACACTTCACAAGGTGCAGGGTGCGCTTCCTCAACCGAGCATTGCTGTGGATTTTGGTTCTTCTTGGTACTTTGCTCTGTTGTGGCGAACATCATTTGGACAAGTGTTGCTCAAGGAAAAAAGACGACGAGACACTTTATACATACATATATATGTATGTATGTACGATTAGCCCTCCAACATCAACCTTCACCACTGGCCACATAAGCGCCGAACCTGTCTGAACCTTGGGACTGGCCTGTAACGCACGGAGGGCAAATCAAAAGTTTTGAGTTTCGAGTGACGAAAGCGACTTTCATCGGCTGGGTTCGAAGAGTCGGGAACATGGACATTCTTGCACACAGTGGAGGATCTCAAGACGGAGGCAGCAAAGAAAGTGACCCCAGGAAGGATACGGAGGCTCCCTTCAACACTGCTACGCCTGTCACAACCCAAACATCGGCAAGTCAAAGCCCGTCAACGAGTTTAGAGGCTGGAGGAGCCCGCGGCACCGACCCGGAGATTTCGTTCACAGACCTCCTCTTGCAGCGGCCTGTCTCGTTGCGCACTTTGACCTCTCTTGATGGCAATGCCGAGAGCTTCTCCTTCTCATGGACCATGAACAACAACAGCGGCAACAATGTCGACATCAACTGGATCGCATGGGTTGCTAGACCTACCATGATCTCAAGTGAAGCTGACCAAGTTATCGTCGACAACATCATAATCAACCCCAAAATGTCTGCAGTGAACCGCGAACGCAATTTCTTATCCGACGACTGTAAGTTTTGCACCTCTGCCAAGCCAAAATTCAACCGATTTGTCTGTTGTTACATCTACATTATCTCTCTGCGCGTCTCATGACCACGAGCCATATTTGCACAGCGCTTCTCTCCCTCCCCCTCCCCCTTCCCCTGCCAACACGAAGAATGGGCAACTTAAAACATGCGCTGACAGGACACCTACAGCTAATGGCCAGAAGGGAGTCACCATTAATTATAGGCGTTGGTTAGATTCATTACAAAATGGCAAAGACACAGGCCAAAGACCGGAAGGCGCCGCATTGCCAGCGGGCAAACGCCTAGCTTCTGACACCGATTTCATGAGGCTCCAGATATCGTGGACTAAACGCAGCACCCGGGAGAGCAAGATATCAAACACTGGCGTTTTCTTTATTAAAAACCCAGCTGGGCTCGAATCGGAGCCTATTCGGCATGATAATGTGACCGGGTATGAGGAGACGGCGGGAACAAACGGAGGCGTGGCTACGAGCATGACGCACATCAGTAGCTTACCCACTTCCACCGACGCTCCAGACAAAAACGGCGGAGCAAAACCTACCGAGGATACAAATAGCAAGGGGCTACCGACCGGAGCTATTGCGGGCATAGTCATCGGTAGTGCCATAGCCGTGGTTCTCGTTGCCGGCCTCACATGGTTCTTCCTCCGCCGGCGCCGTAACCGTAACGAGCCTTCATTTGATCCCCAGTACAAGACAGCTCCATTCATGGAGAACAAGGCTCTATCTGCAACACAAGTCGTGGACTCTCATCGGTCTGGGCTTTCCGAAGATAGCGGACCTCAGGATTATACCACACACAACACCAACACCAGCCCGGTGGGCATTGCGTATGGTGGGCAAGACCAGCCATCACATGACTACACCGGCAGTTTCACCAACCTTCACGATACAGGTATATCCAACGGCCCTTTAAACTATCCAGGCCATAGTCCTGACCCTACCGCAATCGCTGCCATCCGCGGCGTGCGGGAACACCAACACGGCGCGGATACAGACTCGGGCAGAGAGGACCCGACATATCCTCACATCACGCTACCCATACCCTCCCGAATTCGTCACCTCGTGGAACCACATCACACAGACAACGATGTCCGCCGCCTCCTTGCCGAAGAAGATCATCTTGATGAAGAGATTGCCCGTGGGTCCTAGAACTACCTTCGGCGGTATCTATAAAATGCTCGAGTTCGACTTGATTCGGTACTGTTTTGTTTCTTTGCAAATTACAATGAAAGCCATACATAGCGGAGAAATACCACTTTCCACTACATGGACATCACGGGATGAGATGTTATGGTTGCCTTCAATAGGCACCTTTTCATTTTGTAAGCCATGCAAGGTGGATTCGTCGGGAGTTGAGGTTGGGTGTGCGATATGAATTAAAACGAAACGAAATGAAATGTGTTTGAGGAAATTTTCGGCCTGAGCGTAGTCATTGCAAATGATACCACTCGTTAGGGATACATATGTAGTGCAACTTACTGGTGGGCTTTTACCCTTTATAAGTGTTGTCTGGGGAAGTGATGCGTTGGACTGGGCGGGAAATGCATACGGAAATGGTGTTTTGGGCCTTTTGCCATGCCACTATGCGCTCCAGAAGAATCGAGGGGGGATACTCGGGCTTGGCAGAGGCTTTGGCCTTGCAATGTGAGCGGATCCAAGGAATCCACGACGCTGTGTATCGTGGCAGTGGGTGCGGTGGCATTGGAAGAGATGTGAACGATCCATGATGGGGATTCCACCCTTCTGATCCGGTTCCTTCTCGGGCCTTTCTTAAACGTTATATTGAGATTACCGTATAACCGTAATGCGTAGCATGAACAAGTCCTGCATTCCAGCCACTACAAAGAACACCACGCACCAAGAAGCGGCGCTGCAATTTCATCCATTCCTATAATACACCTCATCCAGCCAGTTGGACACACCGGCTCTCAAACTAGTCACATCTAGGCAATGCAACAAGCCGCCCCCTTCTTCCCTCTAAGTCCGCCTCACATCGAATTTACCACGCACACTCTGTACTCGCCTCTTCCTACGCACCTTAGTTACGCGAAAACCACCGTCCGGCCAGATTTGTCGCAATGCTGCCGGCCAAATTCGTGGTGCCCAACGCGCTGCCGGCCAAATTAGAAGCCTGGCTGAACTTGTCGCATCTCGAAAAGGCAAGAGTGTTCATAATTGTCAAAACAAGGGCGATGACTATAATTATGTGTCAGCCATGATACTATTCTCCCTCGTCTCCCTCCATGTGTCGACCAAAGAGGTGGAAAAAAAAAAAAAAAAAAAACTAGAAAAGAAAGAAGCGGGCGAAGAATAACGGGACAGCACTTACTAACAAGGGGCAGCCACAAAAACTGCAACCTCACAATGGCCAAGACGGCCAGCAGAATCCACAGCAGGGGCTGCACGTACAGCGACAGCCAGAAGAACCTGCTGTCCGTGGCGTTGACAACCTTTGTGCCGGGCTCGCTCGACTCAAAGACCCATTTGGACTCGCCGGTCTGGGGGTCGACTTCGTTCCACCACCGGAGGCCGACGAGGCGCCGGCCGGCGATGTTCTTGAGGTAGTAGAAGTCTGCGGCGAGGAGGAGGATGGTGATGATGAAGATCATGATCCTGACGAGTTTGAAGCGTCAGCCTGTCCATGTCCCTGTCGCAGACAAGAAGCTGCGGGGGGGAGGAGGGGTTGATTTTAGGACGTACATGCTGGCCGTGACCCAGAGACCAAAGAAGTATACCAGCACGCTCGCTGCAATTCGTTAGCCTGCATGATAATCTGTCGTCATGGAGCGAACCGAGGACCCGACGTACATATTCGAAAGGCTAGGAAGGTTAGCAGTGTTATGGGGTGCGAACTCAACCGCCAGCTGAGCGTTCCTGGTAACGGCTGCTGCTGCTGCTGCTGCCGCTCCACATCCATGGTGCCGGTATTACAATCGATAGCGGATGATGGTAGGTGTAGAGTGTAGAGGGGGAGAGGTTGCGCTTGGGATGCGCAAGAGGTGTTGGCTGCTCACGGGAGCGTACGATGCGAGCCGATGGCTTCGGTGGAGGTGGCAATGTGGCGATGAGAGAGGAGGCCTGGTATACGGTGTGTACGGCTTGGTGGTGGTGAGTAGTCGTGTTGGTTACGACCGCATGCCTGGAGCTTGCGTACGAAGTCGTGGTGTTGACAGGCGACATGTGGCATTTGCCTTGTGAGCCAGCCAGGCACACGTTAGACGTCCCAATCTTACAGGCTGGACCCACGCCAGCTTTGGACGACGGGTGCCAGGGGCTCTGGGCTGTCCACCCCAGGAGATGAGTTGATCCGGCCCGCAGACCCAAAAAGGTACAAGCTTCATGTACCGAGTACCCGGTACTGTACCTTCTTCAATTGATCGGCAAGCAAAACATCTTGATGATCTGGGCTCTGGATGACGGCAACAACACCGTTTTCTCACATACACTTCCGACTGTGCTGGCTACCCCCGCGAAATGTGAAACCGGGCCCTAGAAATAATTTACGCCATACTGAAATGCAAGATAGAGCTTTAGTTCCCATGCTATCTACTGTTGCATCAACGCCTGCTCACTTACATCAAGTAACCGCCGGCTATTAAGACTCAACCGTCTCATCATCATGGCCGCCGCGGCAGCGAGGTCCACGGCCATCCTCCGCCGGTCTCTTCTTTACGGTCAGCCCGCCTACCATCTACCAGACTCATCGTCGCCGTCGCCTGGAACTAAATTCTCATAGTCCCCGCGTCATCGCAAAAGATGCTCACCAAGTCCCTGGGCCTCATCTCGGACAACGTAACCTACGACCTAGAGGACTCGGTCACACCGTCTCTCAAACCACAGGCCCGCCAACAGCTCAAGGCGCACATTTCATCACTGAAATCCCGCCCTCGGTCCATCTCCGAGCTCGCAGTCCGCGTCAACGCCGTCTCCACCGCCTTCGCCCTCGACGACCTGACGGCCCTCTCTGCCGCGCCGCTCGTCGATGCCATTGTCGTGCCTAAAGTTGAGTCGGCCGCCGACCTGACGTTTGTCTCCGACGTCCTGCGCCATGTCGCCCCGGAGAGACACGCCGTCGACTCGAGCAATCCCATCAAGATTATCGCCCTGATCGAGTCGGCCCGCGCCGTCATGGACCTCGCCAGCATCTGCCGCGCCTCCCCCTACCTGAGCGGCCTGATATTCGCGGCCGAGGATTTCGCCCTCGACCTGTCCATTACGAGGACGCCGTCTCTGACGGAGTTTCTGTATGCGCGTTCCGCAATCGTCACTGCCGCCAGGGCCGCTGCCTTGCCCAGCGCCATCGACCTGGTGTGTACGTCGTACCGCGGCGAGGAGGGCATCGGGAGACTTGCGGAGGAATGCGCGGGCGGCAAGTCGATGGGGTTCAACGGCAAGCAGTGCATACACCCCGACCAGTTGGAAACTGTGCAGAGGCTGTTTGCCCCGAGCCCGGATGAGGTACACTGGGCGATGCGGGTGGTCATCGCCGACGAGAAGGCCGCAGCGCAGGGGAGAGGAGCCTGGACTTTGGATGGCAAGATGATTGATGCTCCGGTCGTTGGAAAGGCTCGAGCCGTCGTTGCCAAAGCCAAGCAGTGCGGATTCGACGTTGCTGGTCTGAGGAGCAAGTGGAATAGCCAGGAACCCGAATGAATAAAACCAACGCACCCAAGTACAGTAGACGAAATCCAACGCAACGGATCATTCGTATTTTTTGCTCTCAACGGTACGTCGGAGCGCAGAGGAAGCGTAACGTGGCTGTGGCCAGTGAATCGTCTTAATCGAGGGGTAGCCAGAACAGCAAAATCCTGCAACCGCATCTCATGATACCATTACATTGCGATATGTAGAAGCCCAGCGCCATGTCGACAGCGTAGCTTCCCTCCCAGACAGAAGATAAAGATCGTACAAATGGGTATCGATCGGCAGCTAACTTGGTGGTTTGCATTATTGATTCGACCGTAGCTCTGGGACCATTGGCACGCATTAAGTTGCTTGGACATAATAAATCTACATTGTACCTCAACGTTGTTCAACTACCGTACTACGAGTGGCAAGACTACTCAATTCAATACAAAATAGACGCTTGAGATAGAATCTTGTTGAAGAAAACCGTTTTTTTATTTCATTTGCTATCCGCTAAAGGTACCTTACTGGGAGGCCTGACGAGAGTTGATGCAAAATATGTGGAAACCAGAACAGTCGTGTGTCCACCTATTGAAAGAGATAAAGCCCGTCCAAGTGAAGACTATTATAGTCCGGCATCGCGACTATACTTTGTATCATGGCCCTCTGATGGTCTCAGCACTCTGGAAAGGCTGTGGCCTGGCCACTTATTCAAAAATAGACTCAACCTCGGGGACAGCGTGAGAATGCCGCTATTGGAGTCACCTAGCAGCAAGGCTGTGCATTATCGTATTTGTGTTACATTAAACCACCAAATGGAGCCATTCAGTGGCTGAGCTGATGGTTTCACGTCCTGCCGTGAATTAGGAGGCGCCTGTCAAGCTGCACGCGGTTCGATAGATGTAGAAAAGAGCTATGGACACCAGAGCCATCTGGCAATTTTCAGGAGCGCAGCGCTAGAACTGAAATTGTTTGAAGATGCGACCTGCCAGGTCGAGTCATCTTATAATATTCTCCAGGATGTTATACTCGCAGGAGAAAGCGTTTCAGAATATGAGAATGTGGAGTAATCTGCGCAACATGTGCATTAGAACAGCTTAAATGTTGAGCCATACAGTGACTCATGTATTGGAACAAGTCCCGGGGCGTCGATGGTCTGCCTTGACGGACCAAATTTGGCTTGTTGCAGAATGTCAAAGTCCCTTCCACTCTCAACGGCTGGGTGTTTGTTCAATTTTCTATCTTGTATACTGTCCAGGAAGCGTAAATCTTCGGTGCTTCGAACAGTATGCAAATCCTGGTCAAAATGTCGGGCGCGCTTATTGTGAAGACCAATGTTGGGGTTCCACGAGCAGGTTGATTCATCATTTTGCAAAAGCCCCATTTCGTTCGGCACGCGCCGTCGTTTTAGACCGAACGTATCAAAGGCTCTATCTCGGGAACATTCGCCATCAGAATCATGAGACAACATTCCCCGGTCTAGTACGGTCTCAGAGCTCCCAAATCCATGAAACTCAGGCGTTTGCCCCATTAGGAACTGCGTCTTTGTTCTGGAGTCGGGGTTACAACAGATCTGCCCGCGTGTTGGCCCGATGCTTGGGAAAACACTCTCCGCCCAGCTCATTGGGCTGACCGAGATTGTCCGAAATAGCGGTGCAAAGTCGTTTCCGCCGCCCCATTGGCTATCCTGGTATGCAAGGTGTCGCGAAGAGCGGTGATCTAGGTCGACACTGCCTCGGGTGACTGGAGGCTGGTATAGTATTGGGGACCGTACTCCTGAATTTTGATGTACCGTAACGTCACTGGTTGGATCCCGTGGTGGGAGTTGGAATTGACAGCTGACTGGTTCATCCGCTATGAAGCCGTCGCAAGGAGACATACCATGCTTATATTGTGCGGTATCGTCCTTGTAAGGCTGGCGAAGAGTATGGCGGCCAACTTCCGAAGTGTGCCATTGCGGGATATATGCATCGTCGAAAATACTAGGCCGTAGTATCCCATGATTATCCTGGTCTGCGACATGTTGCAGAGAGACGTGCCGCAACTCAAGTTGTTCTGGTGCATTCATTGACGGTGAGTGATAGAACTTGTGTTGCCGATCATTGGTGGCTCGTATAATTGGCCTAGGCTGATTCTTCTGCCAAACGAAATCGTCTGAATCTTGAGTGATTTGATTGTCTAACGTCAGAGGCACTGTTCCGATTAAGCTTGTTGCAGATTCCATATGAACCTCCTTTTTTCCCTTGGGAACTTCACCTATGTTAGACATCCCGGGGAACTGCTCTGGTGCACTAGGGAAGTCTTTGGGATTCACTTTAGAGCAATCATCAGCATTTTGCTGATTTGCTCTCTCCATCGGCGATAATGCATCCGATTCCGGGAGTATATTAGATCTTCTACTAGTGCTATCAATATCTGCGGCGCTAAATGTACTCAATTTGGTCTTTGAGAGACTCAAGTCAAAATTGTGAAACGCGAGGTCTGCCACTGGAAGAAATCGAAATAAGTCGGCTTTATGTTCCTTAAAAAAAAAAACTTAACCAGGGACTTGGACATACAAGTAGTGTTATTCAAAGGTCTCTCCTCGGACAGTAAGCCTTCTACAACATGAGGTCTTATCTGTCTACGGTTAGAAGGTAACGCAGGATTCTTTGAAGCCAACTTACGGTCACATTCTCTTTCTTTACCACATCAGATGTGAAGTTCTTCATTATTTCCTTTCCAGAACGTAGTCTGCGTTTCCGACACATTCCGTGATTATCTTGGGGACGGGCTGGTCTATCCGTACCATTTTGGTCCTCCATCATCGGGTGCTTTGTGTCGTATCTGTCTTCTCGAGTCTTGCGGCGTGGTTGACGATGAAACTTTTCACACAAATGATGGTTCTTGGGTCTGGGGGGAGGACTGAAGCAATGCCTCGAGTCCTCGGATCTAAAGCTTCCCCCTGTCCGTAAAAACTCATGTTCTGGCCCCCCAAGCATATGTCTATTAACTGAATCCGTGTTGTCCTGCAGGGAAGGGCTGACGGGTATAAACAGTCCCGAGCTGCACACTGGTGTATGAGTCTTTTGAAAAATCTTGTCAGGTTCATCAGCGGATTGGAAATAGGAAGTTTGTCGTGACCTAGATATATCCCTTGATGTGCCTGCGGGATCATCCTTCTGAGGGCTATTGCTTGAACATTTCGATCGAACACTTTCCAACCATGTCTCCACAAGGGTAGGTCTCGGGCTCGAAAATCGGACTCTTTCTTGACTGTTGGGAGGATAGGAATCGTTGTTGTCATTTGGAGCCTTGTCATCAACACGATCTGTTGAATCTAGGTAAAGGTGATTCAACATGCTGGAGTCCGATCCGTCAACTCGTTTGCAGTGGCTCTGGACTAGCAACTCGAACCTTACCTACGCATCGGCAGAGGGAGAGTGAGGGGGGAAGAAGGACATTGCCCAAGGTTTCTACATTTTTAGCAGTGAGTTGCAGCTTGTCTTTGATGTTCCGGATACTGAGGCAACTGCCGACTTGGGAAGGGGAAAAAGGTGCTACCAGTTGGCCGTTGGGCAGACTTTTGTGCTTGCTTACGATTCCCATCAGGAGGTGTCGCCTTCTTTCCTTACCTACTCTAACACGTGTTCCTCAAGCTTACGACAACAGAGGGAAGGAACGAACAGACGAGCAGACATGTCCAATTCAACAAATCTCCGTCAGCTCTCTCAGAAGTGAATACCTGCGAGCTTTCAAAAAGCAGCCCCGATGTGATGGCCACCATCCACAAGCTCAGGGGAGGCCGATTGATGCCGTTGCGATACCCAATATGCCAGCGCAGTGCCGCCTTTGACAAAGCATGTCAAAACGCGGCCATTGGGCGAGATTGTGGACGGATTTGCCGCTACAAGGCGGCAACATAATTTTGTCGCGTTTTCTACCTTGGACATGATCGTATAGCCAAGACACTCCATCCCCGGATTTGCTTCATGATCCCTGGACGTGTATTGCACGTTTTTGCACAGCACCAGAGAACGGCATGACGCTGTTGACGGCGTCGGAGCACGGCGTCAGGGACCTGGAGTCAAAACGTCAAAAGTTATGCTCGCTTGGAACAAACCTGATTTGTCTCGAGTTTGGCCAAGACACTCACTCCATGTACATATGTACTCGGTAGGGCAGCATCCCAGACCACACTAATGCAAATCAAAGGCCCACAATCCGGTATTACTGGTAGACTGATGGTGTAACACAAGAGCTCAGACCCTTGCTTTTTGTTGCTGAACCAGGCCGCCTCAGGCTGTTGTAGCAGAGTATTTTTGGAATACCGTCGATTAGATCGCGCATGAGACGCTGAGCACATGACCAACCATAGATTTGATACCTACAGTCGCACCTCCATGCACGGAGTGATGTGTTTTGACACCATGAGGGTGGGAGAGTGGTGAATTGCTCAGAATCTCCTTTGTTTCTCCCTTTGGATCGCTTTTCCATCTAGGTAATTGGGCCGACAGGGACAATCAATGCCCATGGCCCCGTGGGCTATCGAGCTGGTATGCGGAGCGGTCTGGAGTAACGTAAGTAAACGAGTAAACGAGCCATGACGACGTGACTCGCGAGACTCCTCAACTCCGCCATAGCTTGCGGTGAATTATCGCACTGCCGCACTGTTTATGAGGAGTCTTCTCGTGTATGCGTCGTCTGGGATAAACCCTTATTATATGTATGTACACACATACAATGCCAATAAATCAGGCCAGGCCAGGCCACGGGGTACTCCGTAGGTGGGCCCGTGAAGGTGGGCTTTCTGCCTCGGGGACATGAACAGAGTCAATCAATCAGATAGTAGGTCAACTGGTCTGCTGCCGTCCTAAGGCCGGATGTGCTCAAGAAAGTACTACCGAGTGAAGTCCAGCGCGACAAGACCGCTCAGGAAGCGCGAGACGCGCATTCCACGTGTGACCAGGCAATTTCTCCCCTGACTTCGGTGAGATTCGGGCGTCTCCTCCGTTAGTCAATTGAGCTTTTTGGTGGTGGCTTGCTCCATGTGGGAATTGACACGCGTCGACAGTGGGATGCTGCAGGGTGCTCACTGCTCAGATGCATCCCCTCCCCTTGCATTTGGTGCCTCAGCAGGCATAGGAAACAGCACCGAGTATTATGGCAAGTATGTAGTCTGGTCCAGCCTTCCATATCTTGGTTCCTCCGGGGTTTGAGGCGAAGGATCATTCTACTCTCATCCATTGACAAATCCACAACCATGTGCCCCTGTGCAAGAGTCATCGTGGCGATTCCTAAAGTGACATCAAATGCCAGGAAGCTCAAACATGCCAGCCATACTGGTGGTCTCTCCAGATCTTGGTCGGCAACGGGCACTCATTCCAGCACTCTATATTTGTCCAAAGGATGTGTGTGGACTGACTCCTGCCTGTACAAGAGTATCACCAACCCTTGCCGGCCAGAAGGGGCCCTGGTGTGTTGATTCTGGTTGGTTGCTGATGGCATTATTCAACCTGCTTGGTGGGCGAAGCACCTATTATTGCTTGCCCTGACCCGAGCAGGGAGCCTCCTCCACTTGTTTAGAGTCAGTTGCTGCGACCACGTTAACGTGTCAAAATTTCATTCTAGTTGTTCTCGCTGTTTGCTTACTGTATATAGAAGCCTCCATCTCTTCTGAGAAACAATATTAGTTGTTCGCGTAATTCCGTTCAGCCTTTGGTCTTGTCCCCAAACGAAGTCTACACTGGCCGGCACTGATTTTGTCTTTAACTGGTTGGCTTTGATTGCCCTCGCCTTGTCATATGAATGCCAGCCGTTGATTAGACAAGCCATCCCACCTTGCTGCCGCTGTTTCACGAACAGGCCAAGCCGCACCATTCCGCCGCCGCCCACGTGTGTGTGTGCTCAACTTGAAGAGCCCAAACTTGAGAGCTTGAGTCGCCTTGGACCCCGCGTTGGCCCGAACCTTGCTCCCCAGCGGTACAAGTCAAGTCAGCAACGAGTAAAGTACACCACTGTAGTAGTAAGTTCCAGTCGACAACAGAGCGTGTCGAGCCGGCGCATTGCTCCACTGCTAGCAAGTCTAACCTTCGGCCACTGCCTAGAGGTTTCAGCATCCATAATCTGCCCCGGAAAGCAACCAGCTGTCTTGTTCTAGAAAGGCCGGCGGAAGTTGACGTTGCAAAAAAGGCTCGTTTCTCAACTCGCCCCGTTGTGGGAACTTCCATCCAGTCAAAAACCCTTGAGGCTGGCCTTAGCGCAATAGATTGTCCCGCTTCATTCGGCGGCGATCCCCAAGACTGGTGAGATCAGCAGAACCCAGCATCAAACTTTCTGAACACATTGTCCTTTGCTCTGCAAGTCATCGCAATCCGGCATTGTGCTTACTGTGCACTAAAGAAGTGGACCGTCACCAACTGTGGCCTGGAGAATAGACTCCATGTCCCAGGAGCGAAGCAACATTGAACGGCGCTTGGCTTGGCTTTCTTGTTGTACACGGATCGGCCAGGCAACTTCGCTGCCACATCCATAAACTCATCTTCCGTTCGAAATCTACCCCATTTCGCCCTCAAGCTCGAGGTACACTGAAGTAGGTTCAAACTGCCCTGTTACTCCCCGCGACACCTAGCGCAGTATTTCGGATGCTAGACCCTGTCCACGCCATGGCAAACGCCTCCTATTAGCCATGGCAGCTGGCAGGCGGGGGAGGCAGCCAACTTGGTTCATAGCTCAGGCGCTGGTACGGAGCACATTGTGTGAATGTGGTCTGTAGGGGTCCATATCTCCGACTAGTAGTTGTCGCATGTTCTTCCATCTTGCAAACGGGCGGACAACGCACCTTACCCAGAGAAAACACGTACCCTTCCTCCCCTACCTTTGGCTTCGCATCGCCCCCAAGCCTCTTCCAATATCAATCCCTACATCTGCGGCTGTGCGTTTTGCGTCTCTTCTGGATCAGTCATACCACCGCCATTCGCAATCTCTGATCCCATCGTCTGACTTTGTCACATAGGACTGAGACGAGAAATAAGCAGCAACATACTAGCCATGTCGAAGCTCTTCATAGGGTGAGCACTGATCACTCATCACAATTCCCCTCTCCGTCATGAACCGTCCCCACAGCGCCGTGTCGCTGGCGCAAGCAGCCACGAACTGACAATGTAAAAAGCGGCCTAGCATGGCATACTGAAGAGGCCACTCTTCGTCAGAAGTTCGAAGAGTTTGGCGCTGTTGAAGAAGCGGTATGTTTGGTTAATTTCCTTTGTTGTCTTCAGACTCTTTGACACGTGTGTATGTGAATCGTTATCGCTGTTCCCACCGCTCAATAACATCCCCTTTTATTCAAAGTGCGTGAATATGACCTTCTAATATGGAGTTTGCTCTGCGCGAAGGTGGTGGTCAAGGATCGAGATACTGGTCGCAGCCGCGGCTTTGGCTTTGTGCGCTACACCCAAGAGAATGATGCCCAGAACGCTATAGCTGCAATGAACAACGTCGAGTACGAGCCCCTTTCGCTTCTTTGATATCACGGACCGAGTGCTTGATTGGTCGCGTGGATTGGGCTTGTTTCTAATATTGCTTTAGATTTGACGGTCGAACGATTCGTGTGGACAAAGCATCCGACAATAGCCCTCGCGGAGGGTATGGAGGTGGTCGAGGAGGAGGCTCGGGATTTGGAGGACGGGGAGGTTATGCAGCGCCAATGCCTTATGGTCTTCCGCAGCAGTCCCCTGGTTATCCAGTCGTCGCTCCTCAGATGTACGCGCCAGTAGCATATGGCCGACCTTACCCTCAACACCCGGGATATGGCATGCCTCCCCAGGGTAAGTCGACCCAATCTTCCGACCAGATTATTCATGCTCCTGCGGCGAATACGCTGACGATGAGTGCAGGATACGGCGTTCCGCAATATGGATATGCAGACCTTTCTCAGCAGCAACAGGCTCCCATGCCTCAACACCAGCCTCCTCCTCAACCACCCCCTCAAGGTGGAAGAGGATACTAATGTTGGTGTCTGGACAAAGCGCGTATGATCCCATGTTGCTGGCATAAGAGTTCGCCTAGGAAGGGCTAAATAGTGTTTCGTACCTTCGACTTTCTCTCAACATGCGATCTTCACGAGGAGTTTTGGGTGTGGTGTAACGGCAAGGGTAAAGGACGAGGGCTTGGAGAAACCCGGCAAACCCCCCCTCAAATGTCCCGATATCTGGACTGGCCGGCCATCCAGACATTATTTTGGTTAGCTTTCTGTACATTGGCGCCAGCTCAATTAGAGCTGCAAGTTCACTTCGTTACCGTTTAGTGCATCTCTTCGTCTTATTTGCGTAGGGACAGTGTCCCTCTCCTGCTTATACTTTGCGCATCCGAAGGGGGTTGAATATGTGCACTGAGAAAGAAACGACGGCACTGCGATAATGGTCTATAACTACCTGCCAAATGCGACATAAACAGAAGTGACGGCCAACAAATTCGATAGCGACGATGATAAACAAACGATGCTGAGGTACAGGTTGCATCTATTGGGCTGAGGGGAAGGAAGAACATTTGAGCGGGAAGGGCTAGTCTTCAGTACCTGGTCGAAGAAATTGAAAGGCTAGGGTTAAAAGAGGTGTTCCTCGCTCCGTGGGGTTGTTTGTAAAAATCATGCCATGTCTAAATGTATGCGTCTATCCCAAGTCAGCAGGCCCCTTGTACCCTTATTGCCGAGAGAAAAGAAAAAAAGGTCCTGAGGTAAGTTCCGATTCGTTCGGGTCTAGGATGAAGTCCCATTGACTGAGTGCTCGAGTGCTCGAACGCGTTGTGCCAAGTCGCTGACATGATAATCTTCGCTATCCGGGGACAATTCATTGAGGGCAGTGTCGAGTCCGTAAAGGTAGTCTCTGTTCAGACCGCTTGGTCCTTTGCTGTTGAGAATATGCTGTGCCAGCTTCTGGGGATCTTGGGGGCCGACAAATTGCTCATTATCGGGAGTGCCAATGTACACCAGAGTCTCCATGGGCGTGGACCCGTCGGCGGGATAAAAAGGTGTATAGTGGATGGAGTAGCCGTTGATCTCTCTAATATCCAGGTATTCCTTGACTTCAGACACCTTTTCCGGCACGATACGATATGCGACGCCCCAGACTTTTTCTGGCGCAGAATCATGGTGGTCCGTCAACTTCTCCCAGTAGGAGCGCTCGATTAGAGTGACAACTCGACCGGGTGCCTCTGGCGTACCACGGTGGTCCTCGCTAAGAACAAGCCAAAAGGTTAAAATCAAACAGTCGTCGCCATGATGTAGGACAAGGCAAAGTGTGAAACCAACCTTGCCTGGTGGAGGAGGATATATGTATATGTAAGCAGAGACTCAAAGGCGGGGGTGACTTGGATAGCGAGAGAGAGTGTTTCTTCGAACATACCTGCCAGAATCTCCTGACATAACCATTGACCCAGCCCGGAACCTTTCTATCTAATGTCACACAAAGAAGATACGGTTAGTCGACATTGGTGCAGATGCACGGGGTTGTTATGGGGGGGGGCACGGCATGTACATACCAAAATGTGGCGGTGGTTTCCATATGAGACTCCTGCAATCAATTGATAGCCGGCGCAATTAGCTGCAGGGAGCAGACGAAGCAGATAGGACTGAAGGGGCTTTACCCGTAGCCGTAGAGCCAAAACTCGGATGCAGCGTCGTCATTTGTCGTGTTGGCCGTGGCTGGCATGGTGCCTTTGCTACAGCCAGAGAAGATTGGATAAACTAGATGTCAAAGTACTACAGCACTTGAGAGTTGATGAAGCGCTGGTGGTTGGTTGTCTTTGCAGGGGACCAGGCCAGCTTGCAGTACAAAGCCGACCGCGTGGGCCGTGGCAGATCTGTTAGTTAGGGCGTTTCGGCACCACCAAACACGATGTCGAGTGGGGCAGCACTTCGATACTCGGTAGGAAGGGGAAGGCACGACCAACATCGTCCACGTCGCCAATATCAGCACCACCACAACAGTCATGATCTAGATGGTGGAATTATGATGATTGATCCATACATCGACGGTCCTGCGCGCAAACTGGTAGGGCAGCATGAGAAAAGGGAGGAAGCGGCATTGTTGTCTGCTGTCTGCCGCGCTCAACTGATGCCTTGATTACCTAGAAGCTGGGCAAACACAAAACCGTTTATTGATTCAACTCAATTGGTGAACCGACCCGTCGACACGTGCTGGGCATTCTGGGGCCACATGTACCGTGGTGGTGCTGTGTGAGACCTCGACATGGTGTCCTGGCAGCTGGCAAGGTATCCCAATGCCGTATTCCCGTCTGGTCCAAGAGTACTAGGTCCTACTGTAGGTACTAGTACTTATGGTACTAAGGTACCTACACGCGGTACTTTGGGTGACACAGGTGCTCCGTACTCCGTACTGTTCGGAGCAATAGTAAGTTGGGAGCTGGGGCTGACAATGACATTTCGATCCAGACAGTTGACATGTCAGCCTCAAACCTACAGCCTGAATCAGCCCTGCCGCTTGTCCATTTGTATAAACCCATTTGGCACCTCGCCATCTCCCTCATTTCTACCCCGGCGTTGGCCATCTTCGTATTGCACCAACCAGTGGACTGCATCATGGCATACAACAGACCCTTCGACCCTGATGCCTTGCCCAGGTACGCATTCGACCCCTCATCGCCACTTCGCGATGCCGCACCACAACGAACCAGACATCGAAGTTTAGGATAGTTTGTTGACGCTCTCTTTCTCCTTTGCGTAAGGTTTGCCGAGCCCGAACGAGTAAGTCATTCATTCTATTCGATCTTCTTTTCATTCAAATTTTTCCTTAAACAGTCTGACTATGCACGCCGAGAGAAGAAGCTCTCTAAATCGTGCTCTACGCGTTCGAAACTCCCATGTTGACACAATCCCTCTTCACAACATCTCTAGAAGTCTGGATCCACGCCGCCGCAGACATATCAGCAAAACCGCTACGAAAAGAAACCTCCTCCCGCAACCCCGAGAGACAATTACCCTCCACCACATCCCCAGCCAACTCATGGTCAAACCTTTCACAGCAGTAGTAGCCATGGACCTGGGCCGGCCGCACCTCGACCTGCCTCCCAGCCTCAAAGTCGCCCACCACATCAACAGAGTTACTCAGCGGCCCCGCCGACTCCAGATCCTGCATCAGGCTCTGACTCAACACTGCTTCCGCTCTTCCGAGCTGTAGACAAAGACGGTGAGTTTTCTTTACGGGAAGAACAGACATGCCGACACATAACCCCTCTTGCCATTTCCCTGAAGGACCATTCGGCAAAGGAGACAAAAAAGCTTCTTCTCATGACATTATTCGGCTGACATGTAACTAGGGACCGGCCAGCTCTCTGAAAAGGAGCTCTCGGCAGCTCTCGTGAACGGTGACTGGACAGCATTCGACATACAAACTGTCCGAATGATGATCCGCATGTTTGACTCTGATCGCAGTGGCACCATCAACTTCGAAGAGTTCTGTGGACTATGGTCCTTCCTTGCCTCCTGGCGTACTCTGTTTGACCGCTTCGATGTCGACCGCAGCGGAAACATATCTCTCCAGGAGTTCACCGATGCTCTCATCGCATTCCGCTACCGCCTCAGCCCCCAGTTTGTCGAATTACTCTTCCGCACCTATGATAAGCGCAACGAGGGTGTCATGAGTTTCGATCTATTTGTGCAGAGCTGCATCTCGCTAAAGCGCATGACGGACGTTTTCAAAAAGTACGATGACGATCGAGATGGGTTCATCACATTGAGCTTTGAAGACTTTCTGAGCGAAATCTTGAGGCAGCTGAGGTAGAGGGATACCCAAGAAGAGCAATGATATTGAGCTTGTTGAGTGGGAGTATACCATGAAACGCAGTGGTTGGGATTAGGATATACACGCATGTAGATGGTTGGGATTGGGTGCGTGGTTGGTTAATGATCAAGCTTTTGGGTTGGATGATACCCTCACGAACCGAGAGATGAACCGTTCTGAAAACTAAAAGAAGGAGGTAGCTGAGTGGTTATGTGGCGTAGTGAGACAATATCGCTCTCGATTTTGTTTTATTTTCTTATCTTACGGGAGGAGAATATTTCCAATACCTGTATGGATCTAGAGGAGCTGAAAGCCACAATTTCATACTGACAGTATTGGATACTAAATACTATGAATGAATTCAAGCTTGGGGCCACAAAATATAGAGTACAGCTAGGTATGTGCGGCGTGAAGACGCAAGGTATAAAGGAGTATCGCTCCATGAATTCCGCTGGCGATGCAACGCCAACGAAACGCCCTCCACGGAGGCATATCACGGCAGCATAGGCTGAATAATAGTAGGGAAGCCTTGAACCTTTCAAGCCAGAAACATACTCGGCCAGAGTTTACTCACCCTAAACGGCGAGCTTATACTTTCCCCTGAGGCATTCGCATAAAGCAAATGGGGAATACTCAGACGACGATTCAGGTAGCCTGATCCCATGGGAGACGCTGCTTCAGTGGCCCACACCCCGTCGCTTGTCAGAGCGATTTCCTCGCCAATATTCAAGGCCATTATTTCCGTGGGCCTGTCCATCTTTCCGCAGCGTCTGGAACTCGGTTTGCGGGTGTTGTGGAGGCCAACCGTCGCACCGTGGACAGAGTTGCGCACCTCATGGGTCTTGTACTTCTTCCTCCGAGTCAATCGCCTAGCTAGGCCTCTAAGGAATTTGTCTCCGTCATATGTGCTGATCCAGGCTCTTGCACCAAGCTTAGCGATGATCTCCTGGCCGTGATGAAAGCCACTCGTGACGTTGCCGCCGAGCCACCAGGGTTGAGAGACGGCATCGAAGCAGTGTAGAAGAGCTGTGAGCGGCAGCGCAGCTTCAGAGACAAGGTGTGACGTTGCGTATCCCTCGATGGCGCTGTAGGAAATGCCGTGGGGGGAAAATATCACGGATACCCCAGACACCCTCCTGTTCTGGGGGTGGGAAAGAGTGGTCAGAGATCGACCTGCCTTCGACGAGTGAGCAGCCGGGCTTTCGGTAGGTGTAAGGGGTGGCAAAGCTGGGAGAGGCGGTAAAGTAGGCGTTTCGAGAGCTTCAGGAGTGTATAGCTCACTTGGGCTCGTTGTGCGTGAGGCAAAATCCAGCGAAGGAGTTGAGAGAGGAGTGGAAGCTGTGGTCACCGGCGGTTGAGAGATTGATAACCCTAAAGGCGCTGGCCTGTACGTTATTCCTATTGCCGAATCAATCCCTTTCGTACTTCTCCCTCGGGAGATGAAGGAAACAGTCACAAGCCCTCTGTCTCCTCCAGCGGTACCAGAGCGTATTGGTATTCGGATGACGGTGTCTCGACCGGTTTGTCGAGGGTCCTGCCATCGCTGAAGGGTCAGAATTTTCCTGTCATCGAAATACTTCCAGCTTCGGATCTGTTTCGCAGCCGTAGGCTCCGCTAATATAATCGTCTTCGTACCGCGAGGAGCCAGTTGCCGAAGAGTAGCCTCATTGCAATGGTCGCTGCGACCGTTACTGACAATAACTAAATCAGGCTCAGGTAGGTCTCGCAACGTTGAGACACATGCTCCCTGAACGTGCGTCGTCGAAGAAAATTTGGAGTGGAAGATATTTGACGGTCCTACAAGCCACGGATCGAGGAGAATTCGGAACAGTTCGGGCATACTTGCACCGTCGGGGGGACCAGACTCAACCGGTTCAAACGTAAGCAAAAACGATGCATCTCCATTGAGCTGTCTAATGCTAAGCGCCATGTTCGGGGTTTGTAGGCGTGATTCGATGCCCAAGGAGCCTCTTGTCAGGGCTGAGAAAGTGCCCGAGAATAACAGTTGCGTGTAGGCAGGCAGATCTTATGAGTCCGAGATTTGGTCCATACTGCCTGGGCTGTCAACAAAAACGTACTTCTCTGAAACATTGATAAAGGTATTGCAGAATGTTTCACAATTGGTATTATGTACAGCCAAGATCCTGTGCTTCGAAGCAAGTTCTGTCAGTATATTGGTATGAGAGGGTCGATCCGGCCACCGAACAGACAGATAGCGTTTGGAACCGCTGGATAACCATGGTCAACACTCTTCAGAACGTTCATCAGACTCGCCCACCAACCAAACACCTGAAATTGTTGCAAATGGTCGTTTGAGTCCTATTTCGAGCCAGCCGTGAGATGCGCCACCTGAAGTGTTTCCCAAATCGGCCCTCATGTTGATGATCCGATCAAAGACAGGCGCAACACGCTCGTCTCGACAGCCAAGGAATTCAACGTGGGAGCTGCAACAAGAGGCTCTGATGACGAGAAAGTAACTTCAAATGTCACGGCAACAAATTTACATACCAGTGTAAGTAGTTGCATTTTGGTCAGCTACATGCCAGTCGCCCCCCCAGGCCGACTTGGTCCTAGGAACTCCATTGCCCCCCCAAAGTTGAGTTAATGTCAACAAGCAGGGGAGATGAAAAAGTATATACAATGATATAATTGTGCAGTACCGTTAGGCCTGAATGTATGTATAGTCTGGTGAGTGCAAATTAGGTTGTGTAAGCTGGTTGTTGCGATGGCTTACGAGAACGCTTCCAGCTGTTTGACGCAGCACCAACATTTGCAGCACTGGCATCTGCTCAACGAAAATGTATTTGACAGCAAAAATATGTAGGGATTCAGACTCAAACTCTGGCGTCCCGTATGCATGTGTGCAATTAATTGCGCTAGTTGACCGCCTGGGCTTCATTGCCGTATCCCAGGCCGGCGATTAGGAAGGAATGATCAAGTTTAGGAACGTCGCACACCACTTGAGTTCCCGATAGATGCCCCACCTGCACGCCTGGTCTGGAGGGGCTGGATTGGTGTCATCAGTCTCAATGCTCCGACCAAGGACCCTCCTCGGCCCCCTGGCCCATGCATCCTCCCCCCCTCCACAAGTCGCACGCGCGGGGTCACCGCCTGGCAGTTCAACTTGCGATAAAGCTGTCAGCTGGGCTTATCTATCCTGGCCTGGGTACTCCGTACTTGGCAGAGAGACCAACCGAGGGTGCTTTGTTCACAATACCAAGTAACTTACTGCCTCTGGCTGACGAGGACAAATCATTAATGGCGGCGGTGACAAGCACCGAAACATACCCATAGCATTTTGAGTTTAGGGAACAACTTTATACTGGACCCAGGTCTCCTCCAGAGGTCGTAAAGGGCAGCAGCTTGTGTCTATGCCTCTGAATACAATGTTATTGAATGCGACAGCACGGTGAGAATAGCGATGGGCGTCTGGAGACATCAATGATAGCATGCCTACTTAGAAAACATGAAAGGTTCAATGTTGGCCGGCACTGAAGGCCATGGGAGGTCCACTGGGTGCCTCAAGCCGCATTAAGTAACTATAGCCTCATAGGCCTGGCGGCACCTGAAGAAGTGATGTCAGCGGTCAACTGTAGGATAGTGTGACTGGCAACGTTGAGCTCTCGAGTTGAACTTGGCAGCTTCGACCCAATCCATCCAGCCCAGCCCCTTGCACCACCCCATCCATCCATCATTCATCCCGACGCCCTGGAACGCCGCAGCGATTGGGTTGAACTCGAGACAAGCCATCCCTCCTTTATAATGATCCAGGGGTAGAAGTAGAGGGTAATTGCCATTGTGTCGCGGTGAAACACTGATTGAGAAGAACAGGCAAGAAGCACGACGCGATGTCAGCACCGATAACAGCCACCGTAAATACATTAGCCTGCGAAGCTTTAATACTCGAGAAACCTGCCCAAACCGACGCCTGACGAGCCAGGGAACCGATGGTTATCGACTTGCCCTTGTGCACCAACAGCCAGCCAGCCGGAAGTACTCTAGCCGTTGAAAGTTGGTCTCCATGACCTTTGGCTGTCGATTCTGTCTGGTCGGACCCGCCGGTTGATGACCTGCTTTAAGCCTAAAAAGGCATGCCATGCCATGGTGGTCTTCGATTGCCGGAAGCTGCTTGGCTCCGTATCCGCTTACCATGGCACCAGAGACGAGAAGTAGAGCTGTTCCGTTGGCTCTGCTCGCCCATCATTCGTTGGGACCACATCTAAGTCTCCGGTCTCTGCATGACAGCAAAGGGTCCTCTCGAAGATGACCAGGGTCGACTTTGTCCACATGAACACTTCTATGGTGAAGGTTGGCAGGGGCGGTTGGGAGCAACTGGAGAACCAGAGGATTCGCTCTACTGCGGGTTCCTTTGACAAAGGTTGTCAATGCTGGCATCAACTGCGCCGTCGCGCTTCAGATGGCGGTCCCAATGAAAGCCGCCAGTGCAGAGCCCATGCGCAGCGTGCGCGAGTACGATACGGAACATGGCCCGACAAGTCTGACCGCGTGCTGGCCGATTCTCTTGAACTGTTGGCTTCTTTGCCGCCCTCGGAGTCTCTCACCCCGTTGCTGAATCTCGAGATGCTTTACGCTGCCAGATGTATGTACAGTACATATACATCACATCACAGGACGACTCCGAGCTTTACGTGCTCCGTACGGAGTACATGCAATATTTTCTCAACTGCCCTCGCCCCACGCAGGTCCACCAATTGTCGCCACCACAAAGTCGCAGCTCCAGCATTAGTTCGGAGTACTAGTACTGCTTGTCTAAACGTCCTGTGACGTAGAATCTGAACTGACAGGGTACATGATGTACTGCTGCCCGTCATTTGCCGCCCACATGCATCTTGGGGATGGAGCAGTGCGACGGACCCGTAGACGCTGAAGCTGGTAAGGAGCTTGGGGGAGCTGGCCGTCAGCTCTTGAAGAGGAAGCTAGGGCAAGCTCCATCAAGAGCTCGGCAAACTGGGGTATTTATTCATGCTTGCTAACACTCCATTTTCTTCACCCATGCGCTCAGCAGCCACTTGTGGCCGAGAATGTTGAAGGCGGAAGACAGCGCGGCCAACGGCCTAGGAGGCTAACATGGACTCGAGAATAATGGGTAGGGACCAAAACTTATTCTTTTGATGGCTTTCGGCGGCTCCAAATGGACTAGGCGTGGAATTCGACGTCAGGACCCGCCACCATCAGCATGTCCGAGTCAGTCCGAGTGTACGGAGCACGGAATACTAGATGGAATTCTGGACGTACATACGTATTGCAGCGCTGATGAATAGCAGAACGGAGGAGGGCTGCACCATTTGTACGTACACTCGGAGCAGACGTTTGCGATTTGCCAGCATTGGTGTTCAGGGCGCTTCAAGTGTTTGCGCCAGACGCCTCCTGGACGCCTTGACCGTCCACAAGGTTCATCAGAGCGTCCTGTCCGTCTTGTCTTGAATTGATTGCACCAGCGGGCTCCGGGCAAGGGCAAAGGCAGCGAGAAGATGAGCTTGTGGCGGATTCTGGGCTGACGGGCCGGGTGAAGCTCGCAAAGCTCACGCAACCCCATCCTGCTGCCCACGCACCAGTCCATTCGCCATTCAAGCATCGCTTGGCTCTGGTTCGGAGGACATTTTACTGGTCTTTGGTATCAAGGAGCTTCCTATTGGCCACATGAGCCCAACACCTACCCTCCTGTCCCCAGCTTGGATCTGGACCCTCCGTCTCCCTCCTTGACCCTGAAGAGGGCAGCTGGCTGCATCGAAGACATGGACGCAGCTGGCCGTCGGGAGCTCCCCTTCATTACTCGAGCATAACGGGGGGGGGTGAGGGCCAAACGAAGGAGTCGGTCTGGTGAGAGAAAACCTCGAGCCTCCAGCGCTTTGCCCACTAACTCGGAACTACACGCGTTAATTGGGGCGCTACTTGTCAGAAGGTCAGTCGGCGCCGGCTGGTCTCTGACGCTGGTCTTTGGCGACGGGCCCAAGCTTCACGCTGAGACGCCGGGACGCTGGCCACTGGGGCGCTGAGACGAGAGCGCAGGGCCGGGCTGGCCGCAGCTGTGCAAGCAGGCCAAGCTATTGACGGAGTATAAGTTGACATTTGAAGGTCGACGGACGGCGGACGACAGTCGACATTCGCAGCTCGGCCACTACGACTAGCCTGCCCACCTCGATCCATGTTGAATGCTCCCACTTGGCACCCCGACCGGCCCTCACTGCTTCGACCTCCATCTTCTAAAGTTCGCCTGCGCGCGGAGCCATCGCATTTGCCATTGACACATCTGAAGTAGATCGCCCACCACCCCTCCAGGCAGGGACCGAGGGCCAGGGCAGTTCCTTCATCGCCCATCGCCCATTGCCTATCGCACGTCGACTTCATCGGCGTCCCCACCTGCTTGCTCTCAGCTGCTACTCCCAGCTTGTTGCTCTCCTCCCCTCCCCTCACAAGCTCCATGTCGTCTTGCTCTCAAATTGCCCTTCATTATATTCTAAAAGTTCCTTACTCGCCCTTCTCGCCAGACCCCGGTGCCCTCCCAGCCCAGCCTAGTGTTGTTGCAGCTCATATACTTGCTTGCTCCGGCAGGAGCTTCCTCAAACCTTCCTGGCAGCCACAGCCACAACCTGCAACCTGCAACTTATTACGGACCTGTGACCTGCGACCTGCCATCTTCACCTTCTTCTACCTGGTAACTGCTGATTTCCTACCATCATACCTACCGAACCTCGGGAGTGTGTTTACCATTACCACTACCTGACACTCATCCGGGGCCTGGCTGCTTTTCAACATTCAAAAGTCCAGTCGCCAAGATTCCTTTCACAGATATTGTCACTTTACACAACTGCTTTTCGGCATTCCGAAGCTGCATCTGTCTGGTCAGAGCCTCCGTGGGCTCAAGCTCAACCTCATTGTCAACACCGCTCAACCGTCCAAGGAAATACTACTTGGTCCGCCAATTCATCTATTCTTTGGCTTTTGCCACCGACATACGTTCAATTTACTTGCTTTCGATATTCGCCTTATCTTGAGACATCCGATCCACGTTCCAGCTTTCACGCCCACTCTTACAAGCTGCATCCTGCTGAAGGGTCAGCTTTGGCCGACCAAAAGCTTACTGCGAGACCCTTGAACCTTTGCAGGATTGATTCTTTTCCTTTCAGACCTTTTTTACTCATCTTCCATCTTTTATACTTCATTCCGCTGCCATTTCAAGCGGTTGCAGTGCTCCGATCACGCAGTTCATCGTCATCAGACTTGCCGGCTTGGCTCTGCATTGACGTCGACTCTCTCTCAAAAAAACTGCCACCTCTGTCTGCTGCGCATTTCTTCCCAGCAAGCCGATATTGGTAGCTGCAGTAGCTTTGACTCGAATCATCTATTCATAACCCTGCGATGCCAAAGCTTGGCATAGCTTCCATTTTGTCAATTGACAGACTTTAGAGCTCTAGTTATTTGGCTTCTCTCGCACCAACTCTTTGTTCCCCCACGGCGAACCTGCTCCAGGCGCATGGTGGGGTCAATCAAGATGCCGCCTCGAACGTCGTTGACATCGTCCTTTTCAATCACTGACGCCAATAATGAGGTTGTCTGCCCGCTTCGCAATCAAGATGGTTCAAGCTGTCGCAAGCGATGCATTGGCGTAAGTACTTACTCCCCGCTGCCTTGGTCCCGTCCTGATCCGTCGTTGCAATCTATCCCGAGGGTGCCGTGAACCTCATTACCTACGCCAAGCAGCCATCGTTTTGAGGCACGCTCCGTCCAACGTCTCGTCCTCAGCTTCAAACGTGCCCCCCCTCTGGGTTGCGTATTTCTCCACATCTAACATGTATTGTCTTGGTTTAGGAGAAACGGTACCGCTCAATGCAGGAGCACATTCGCCGCGCTCACCCGGAGCATTACATTCCTAAGCTTCCTGCCACAGAAGAAAGCTTCCTGCTCATGATCAACTCCCCTCCTTCGGAACATCGAGCTGACCAAGCTCCAACGTCAACCCCGCAGAGTTTGTCTCTTCTGTCTTGCCTGATTTTACAAGCGACAGACCGCAGGTTGCTAATCCCCACCACCGCACAGGTGCCCATGACCGACGAAATTACTACCGCGATGGCTCCAGCAACCCCGGCACCCCTCGCCACAGTGATGAATATACCATGAGCGGCGGTGGCCCTATGCTTGGGGCTGCAAATGCCGCAGCAGCTCTAGCAGAGCTCCATGGCGTCAAGTCGGAGAAAGATGTGGATGTGGATGTAAGTCATTCTGGTGCTCACGATTGCTTGGCTCCATAAGGGTGACTGACATTTTTGGCCACTATCGCCTGGCTGTACTAGGGATACTATTCAGATTCCGATGGTCGCCGCATTCCCCGGACATCAATTGAATTGCCCCCGCTGCATTTGTCCAATAACGACATCACGAGCGATCCTTATTCGTCAAATGTAAATCGACAGCGCGAAATCCTTCCGTCACTGCTTGCCAATTCGCCTCCAGGCCGATCTTCCACCCTCCCTCCTCTTCAGAGGCCATTAGGTCCCAACCGTCCACGAAAGCAATCCATAACGAAACGTGGACGCGAATCCAACCACAAAAAGAAGAGCTCGCGGGGATCTGCTGCTGATTGGATTCGGCGCTTCCAAAACGAAGATCGATTCAGACCTGCCAACGACCGTAAAGCCTTGTCAGCAGAGCCATCGGCGGACTTTGGTAAACGATGGGAGGATTTGATCGACGCTGCGGACCAAGCTGCATCTGCTGCCGGCGACTTGGATGATCGCACTCCGGTAAGCCTCGCAATGACAAATACTTACAGGGACTGGCGAAGCCACTTACACTATCGCAGGTACCGCAGTCTCCAGTATCAATTCATCGAGCGTCCTTGCCACCATTCTCTCACCAATTTCAACCTGGGAGCTACCAAGCATCCCCGTTACAGCAAGCTTTGACACCACCCTCGTACAATCAAGACAGTATTGATCCCTTTCCATCCGTCGAGAGCGGCGAGAGCGGCGAGAATTTCCACATCGGATCCCGTGGTCTGAACGATTCCTCGCCCACCTACTCATCGTCGCAGAACACGCAGATTTACTGTGCGGCTTGCCAAAATGCTTCGCTGCTTAAGAGCTCCTACGCCTGTACCGAATGCATTTGCGGCCTATGTTCGGCATGTGTTGAGGTGCTCATGGCAGAACTTGGAGCTCGGAGGAAGTGCCCACGCTGTGCTACCATCGGCGGCCGGTTCAAGCCTTTCCAGCTCGACATCAGATGAATGACTCTGTGACGGTTAAAACCCTTTTATGACTCTGATTATTTTGTTGTTGTTTTACCCGTCCTCTCTATCTTACGTGCGTCTTAAAATTGAAGATGAAGATGGACCAAATGTCTGCACTGATGCCTCGGCGTATAATTGGGGGATCATAACTACCATACAGGTTTTGCCTTTCAACATCGATTGCTCCTCCCGGGAGTCTATCATTCATTTCTGTTTATCCTGGGTTGCTCGGCTTCTTTTGGACACATTTGGCTTGTCAGCTATCACAAAGTTGTTGGCCATGCTTCATGGCATCTTTCGATACAGCCGCCGGTGCCTTGTTTCAAAGGACCTCTTTTTTTTTTATTTTGCCCCGTAAGTTTTTGTTACAACGGATGTCGGCGTTAAGCTATGGGATAAAACGGACCGTTGGATATCGGATACCGGTTGGGTGGCTTCTTTGTTTGATACCTGACGATATTTGTTGGCTCATTGCAAGGTCATGGGCATGATTTTACTGTTAATGCTAAGAAGATGCCCCGATCCTTTATGCTAGGTTCTATCGTACTTGAATACACGTCTCCTTGGTATAAACCACTTTTGCATGTGAGAAGATGGTTCAACGTAGGTTTTGATTGAGTCGCCAATGTTTGCATTGCAAATCCACCTGTACCTGTACCAATGGCAAACTGTGTCAACTCTTGTGCCGCGGGCGGGTGGGATATATATGTATCCAAACCTCATCAGACTGTGAACCATGACAGGTTCATGGCCGCCTCCCAGTCCTCTCTTGTCTCTCTTTCTCCTGCTTCTGCTTAAGCAATACATCCCTCGCCGCCGCCCTCACATTCCGACTGCCCCCCAACTTTGGACCCCTGAGCACGTCGGCTTGCTGCTGCTGCTGCTGTTGCTGCTGCTTGGCCGTCGGGGCCGGGCGCCTCTTCAGCCGCCGTGCGGCCACCTCTTCTATGTACCGCTGGCGAAATTCATCCGCCATGCGGTCGTCGGCGGAGCGACCATCCCCCCCGGCCACGGGGTTATTCTGTACAGGAACGTCGTATACATCCACTAGCAAAAGTCAGCACTGATCGTTTCCTCTCCCGTGTACTTGCTGTGTGATGACGCCTTGCAAAAAGGGGGCCAGGCAAGTTGGGCCAAGACGTACGTTTATTCTCGTGGAGAAAGGCGTCGACGAGCTGATCCCGCTTCACGTCGTCGCTGCCGCGGCGGTTGCGCCCGCGCTTGGGGCGCGCGGGCTCCGTGGTGTCGGGCGGGCGTTTGCGGGCGTCGCGGCGCGCGGCGTTGTTGTCCGCCGGCACGTCCACCTCGAGGAGCTTACCGTGCTTGGTGGGCTGGTCGTGCGTGCGGTGGCCGGGGCCGGGGCCGGGGCCGGCGGGCGGTTGAGCGGGTGCTGCTTCTTCCGGGGGCGCGGGCGAGGGCCCCGGGGCGTGGGTGGACAGGCGGGATTCTATGTATTCGTTCCTTGAATGATTAGCTTCTGCGGGTGCTGCCCCCCTGCTGCTGCTGCTGCTGGGGCGCGCGCTGGGGATTGCGCGACATACATGTGTCTGTCGTTGAGGGTCGCGACGAGACCTGTCTGGTGGGTGAAGCGGTCTGGGATTCCTTTCGGGGGGGCCCTGTCTTGATGGTCTGTCGGGGCGCTGGGAGCGGGCGCGTCGTGGTCGTCGGAGCTGAATCCTACGCCGCGGAGGCGGGCTCTGCGGGCGTTGCGGACGCGCATGGCGGCTGTGACGGCGGATTCTGCGCCATTCTCCTGTTCGTCTTGGCTGCTTGGTTGTTCGCGGGTTGGGGTGTCTTTGGGGGTTGTTGTTGGTGGCGGGGAGTCGCCGGCGCGCTGGCGGTAGGCTTTGCGCTTCTTGGAGGGCCGGAATACTATGGCTGTGGCAGGCTCTTGGGACGGCTCCATGGTGAGGAAGCTGTCGTCGGGGATGGGCGCAGGGTGAGGATGGTGAGGTCGTCGCGGGTGGGTGGTTGGAGGATGGGTTGGTTGAGGTTGATCGGTCGGCGGGTCGTGCCGATATCGATAAGGCTTGTGGAACGGGGAGGGACGTCATTTGGCGGGACACGAAACCGGGTGCAGGACATGGGCACTCTGATGGCTACGTGTTGCACATGTGTGACGAGAGGAAACTTTTTACACGTAAAAGAGGGACTATTACGCTTGCCAGGCGACTCGTTGTTCTGTTTTAGTCTG